CCTGTATGATGAACATATGGAGAAAATTGGCTACCCATTCATTTGCCCTGACATTGGATCTCAACCACAGTCTAAGCAAGATCTACCCTCTTCCTTGCCAGAGTTTGCTTGTTGGCCTCAAATCATTGCATTTTGCTCAGCCAATTCTCTGGCATCTTCCTCCTTTGTCTGGCTCTTGCTTCCAGGGAACTAGGTCAGAGGAGTTGTATGTTGCTTCACACATGACCTAACCAAAGTTATTGCTGCAAATTAACTTTTGGGCAGATATCCAACGCTAAAAAGGAGAAGAAGGAGGGATTTTTTTTGTTTTTTAAAAAAATAGAACTGGCACGCTCTTGCTGCCAACTGGGTCATCATGGAAGCTAGTTTTGGCCTTTGTACTACAAAAATTTGAGTATCTTCTTTTCCAAGAGTTCATTTGTTGTGTCATGTCTTGGAAGGCAATGAGAGAAAGGACAATTAATCATCCTTTGTCTTGTTCTTTCCATTTTTTCCAGTTTATGGAAGTGGTAAATACTAGGAGTTGGAGAAACACACAGATAGCTTCTCCTAAGAGTGGGCAACTGCATTAGCTTCAGGGATCTGTAGGAATCAGCAAGAGGAAGTGGATCATAGTCTGCTTTTAGTTTTGAAAATCAGTATTTTTTAAAAAAATGTTAAAATTGTGCAGGCAACCCCTTCAATATGTTTAAAAGGTATAATGCTTTTCTTAGAGTTTTTTGACACCATAACATTACAATGCTTTGGTTCCATTTTAACTGTTATAGCTGCATCAGATGGAGTCCTAAGGTTTGTAGTTTGGGAAGGCACTAGAACCATTTGGCCGAGGATTCCAAATTCTTCTCCCAAAACTGCAAATCCCAGGATGGCATCAGGTGAGACCATGGAAGTTAAAGTGGAACCATAATGCTATTCATTGTATACTTCAAAAACAACCCACTCTCCTTCTCAAGGGGAAAAAAAACATGGTCACCATAGAGTGTGGAGAAGACGCAGACCACAAAAAGAGATTGGGAAGAGGAGCAGATGTGAACCTAAGTCTACATTTTGGCACTTTGATGGCTTTTCAGCATTGTGGAGGCTGGATGACTATCTGTCGGAAGTTCTTTGATTAGATGTTTCTGCATGGCAGAAGGGTGGACTGGATGGCCCTTGGGATCCCTGCAAACTCTATAACTCTGTGACTATGTAACTCTAGGGCTGTTCAGGGCTGTCTTCTTAGTGTCAGCTTCTAAGGACAAACAAAAGGAGTCCCTTAAAGAGCTGGGCATGTTTAGCCTGCAGAAGAGAAGGCTAAGAGGAGACATGATGTTTGTTCTGTTGCCGCTGGATCTAAAATGAAGCTCCTTTAAGAGAGGATGTGTGGCTTAAATCCAGCGGGAAGCCAGGGGGCCTGAAAAGGAGACTTTAGGAAAATTTCCCTCATTGAACAGTCTTTAGGAGGCTTGAGCTTAAATATAACAGTCTTTTATTGATGAACAAACAGGAATTGTAAGGTTTGCTTGGTAAAGAAACCAGTTCTCTCAAACTTGTCCACAGGGAACAGGCACTATCTTTAATAACTTTGTTCAAAGGAAAGTTCCCCTTTCTAGCTCCTCCCAGGCTACTGTGAACCTAAACCTGACTGATTTGAATCCACTACCGGCTGAACTGCATCTCAGAACCAAGCAGACATACCAGCAGACCTGTAGTCACTTAGCTGGAGATCTTGATGATTAGAGCTGTTATTCCCTCTGGAATTCTTCAGTGCTGTAAGGCTGTTTCCCCGGAACCTTTGGGAATCTTTAGAAGCTTAAGACTGTTTTCCCCCGGGAAGTCTTAAGAGATGAAGCCTTTGTACAGGAGGACTTCTGTACACATCCTGCACATTGGCTTCCTTTGCTGAGACTAACTGAAAAATGGCCCCTTCCCTCCAAAAAACCCAGAGAGGGGTGGGACTATTATTGACAGGTGGCTTGCTCTATGAATGCAACCAAAGGAAGCCACCTATCTGCAAAGTCCCTAAAACTTAGGACTATGAACAAACACTCAGTGCAAAACACAAAATTGGAGCCCCTGGAACAGCCGTTCCAGAACAATGTTCATGTATAAATATGTGAGGGTAAGTCATAGGGAGGAGGGAGCAAGCTTGTTTTCTGCTGCACTGGAGACTAGGATGCGGAACAATGGCTTCAAACTACAGAAAAGGAGATTCCACCTGAACATGAGGAAGAACTTCCTGACTGTGAGAGCTGTTCAGCAGTGGAACTCTCTGTCCTGGAGTGTGGTGGCAGCTCCTTCTGTGGAGGCTTTTAAACAGAGGCTGGATGGCCATTTCTCGGGAGTCCTTTGAAAGCAATTTTCCTGTTTCTTGGCAGGGGGTTGGACTGGATGACCCACGAGGTCCAACTCTATGAAAAGCTGCTAACACAAAGAAAGCTTTGGCATCATATTTCTGGTTGAAGGGTTCCTTTCCTAAACTTTTATAGGTGTGTCCCCCCCCCCCCCGCCTTGCTTGTTACACAAATAACATGACACACAGCAGAGTAAGAGAAAATTTAGGTGGCTTTGCTCTGAAACCATGCAAGATCAGCCACGTTGGCCATAAAACTAACCAAAAAGAAACCAAGAAGATCTAAAACCCATTCTGTGCCAGTCCTTTGTGCCAACCGGAAGGTGGAAAATCTATCGTGATAGATTTCAAAATTTCACGGACTTCTACACCAGGAAAGATGGTAAAACAGCAGACAAGGGAAAAAAGTGACAGTGCTGTGGTCCCGGCGGTGTCTACATTCTGCTTTAGATGTTACAAGAAGTGTGTGTACACATAAAATGGGTCCCTCGCTCTCCCAGGGCTGAGAGGGAGCAAAAGCAATAAAACGGAAGCTATAAAGTTTGCCTTGTCCATTTGATGTTATAAAGTGCCCTGCTTTAAGAACAGTATTTGCATACATTCGATTGGAAGCCCTCGGCCACCCATTAGTCTTTATAAGAATGTTTAACAAAGAATTAGTGCCTGCATTTGCTTCGCCCTCTACACACATCCCCATGCCTTTTCCTTTTGTATTATATCTCTCATCTTGTAAATCTCAAGTCAGGAGCGCACTATTCACTTTTGTAAGCGGTTTTGGAAGTCCTTTTCAACTGAACACTAAGCAAAAAGCTTTGAAATGACAAATCAATAGGGTTTATTTTTAAATCTTCACTTTGCTGATAACCTTCCCCTTGTGCGACTGGCGGTGTCATTTTGTTTGCAGAAGGAGAATAAAGCCTGAATTCCTTTACTAGTCTGAACGAAAGCAGATCCATTGATTTACTTGTGAATCAGCTCAGCTTTCAACAACCGATTTGAGGGTTTTACTCTAATTGAGAGTAA